CAGTGTTACTTTTCATTTCTGTATTTGTTCTGTATGTATTTGAAAATTCGAAAAGTTATGACAGAAAAAAAGTTCAGCTTATGGATATTTTCCATTTCCTTCAATTACCTGTAAATGAAAGCTTATTTCCCTGATCTTTTTTTTTTTTTTTTATTTCCCTTGCGCCCCCAGCGAGCACACTCTCCAGGGCGCGTAGACCTACAGCCCGGCCCACATCCGCCTCGCCTAGCCACGCCACGCCATGCCACACTGCGGCGCCCGCCCCGCCCATCGTCAGTCACTTGGCAGAGGCAGCACAGGCGGGAGCTGCTCTCCTCCGGGGAATGGCAGCTCTGGCGATGGCGGTGGCGCAAGTGGCGGCGGCTGAGTAGGTGGCGGCGGGGGGAGGAAGCGGCGGCTGCAGAAGCGGCAGCAGAAGCGGCGGCAGCCCAGAGTCGGCGGCGGCGGTAGCAGCGGCGGTGCAGACAGCATCCGCTGCACAGTCGCCAAGGGCTTCGGCGTGGACGTCTCATGCGGCGGCGGCGGCGGTAGCAGGGGCGTCGGCGGCGCAAGCGGCATGGGCGCAGTTGGCATCGGCAACTCAAGCGGCGGCGGCGCAGACCGCGTTGGCTTCACAAAAGGCGACCGTGACTCAAGCAGCCGCGGCGCAGACAGCGGCGTAGGCGGCGGCGTCGGCGGCGGCTGCGGCAGCAGCAGCAGCGGCGCAGACAGCGGCGTCGGCGACTGAAGTGGCGGCGGCGGTGCAGATGGTGGCGGCGGCGAACTGCGGGCGGCAGCGTAGCGGCGACCGCGGTGGGAGCTCTAGGGCCAGCAGCTGAGGAAGGGCAGAGGTAGGGATGAGGACGGGCGCGGAGAAGGGCGGGGGCGGTTTGGGAGGACTTCCTGGAAGGCATTTCTCCTTCCAGCGGCGCCGCTTTCGGCTTTGGGGTGGGGGGGCGGGCAGGGGTACAGCCCACCCTTTTCCTTGGGCGATAAGGAGAGCCGGACCAGATAGATACCTGCTCTGAGCTGAGGGGGTGGAAGGGGAGGGAGGGCTGGGGGCGAGCGTTGGCTGGCGACCACAAGTCTCCGTGGCCACCCGGGGCGGGGAGAGGCGCGCGCTGTTAAAATGGTGATCTTGGGGCTGGGGGAGGCTTCGTGGTCAGCGGCGGGCGCCGTCGCTCCGGCTCAGGGCTGGCAGCTCAATGCGCCGCAGCCCTGGTGGCTCCTCCTCAGCGGCCCTCCGTCCCTGCCACCGCCGGGGCCACTCCTCCCAGGCAAAGGGAGATTGAACCGGGTGGGGAGGGATGGGGGGCGCCAGCCTGGGAGGGGAGAGGGAAGGAGCCGGCCCACTCCCCGCAACCGGCCTCGGGCTGCCTCTGCGCGCCCCCTCCAGATCCGGCCAGCAGCTCCCCTGCCAGCTCGCCACCAGCCCCACGCTGCAGTCCACAAGTCCGCCCGCTCCCCGCGCCCGCTGCGGCCTCTCTGGGGCCGCCACCATCTCCGAGGCCTGTGCTAGGCAGCACCGTCGGGGCCCAGAGGTTGCGGGGTGCGGGTGGGCGCGCCCCGTGCACTCCCCGATCCCTGTTTAGGTCCCTGGAAAGGGTCTGTGGGTGGTCGCCCGAGCCAAGGTTCCAGCACTGGATGCCTGGGAAATGGCGAGGGCTCACCAGTGCCTGTGTTTTGCGGTTTCTCCCCATTTTTAACCCAATCCCTGTGTCTTCCCTCCCATTTCCGCCTCTCCTCAGTCCTCAGAAGGCCAGAAAGACGCATAGGAAGGCTTTTGTGGTTTGAGCGTCTGCACCTTGAGAAGCTGCGCTGAAGCCTTGATATGCAGCATCTGCGATGTGAGGGAAGGCACCTCCACCAGGTACTTGAAGATCTGGGTTAGCTTTGGTGGAAGGACTTTTGCTGCTTAAGGTGTGGGAGAGGGTGGAGGGCTCTCCTTGAGGCCCTCTTTCCAACTTGTTGAGGATGGCTTTTTTTGCATTTGCGGGTGGTTGATGTATGGTTTGGGTTGTGTGTATTTCGTGTTGGGTGGAAAGCGGTCCTATTCACCGCATGACTTAAGGGAGGGCCTTTGTCCAAGTTTTCGTCTCATTTCTATCAGGCTGGATTGGTTTGACACTTGGATCCATTGGGTTATTGGTATGGATGGGCTCAAAAAGAGAGGAAGCCGTGATTTTGCTGTGGATTGTAGGAGTTGAGACGTTTTCTTTTGACCATGTGTAGAATGTTTTTAATTTGCCTGTCCTGAATTCCTGTTTTCTTGTCTTGAGGGATTTGGTGGTGGAGGTACAGTTATGCTGGTGGTTGTGCTTTTCTTGTCTTGAGCGGCAAATGTCTGTTCCTTTCTTATGTTTGAAGATGAATGTTGGGGTTGGATAAAGAAAGTGTATTTTTCTGGGAAGCTGAGCTGTCCGTTTGTGTGTGTTTGTTTTCTGATTCTCTTCTGCAGTGGGGTGATGGGTGTCTTTCTAGACAGCGTTAAGGTACACGTTTGTGTTTTTGGGCAGCACACACTCTCCTTTCTTTTGGGGCAAGGGATAGTTACTTCTGTAGGTGATTACTGTAGGCTTTGCTGTTTAGCTCATTGGTTTGGGGATAATGTAGGGTTGAGACCTTTGTGTAGAGGCTAGTCTGCTTTTCCTGAGTTGACTGCCATTTTCTGAAGCCAGGACTGCTAACTTGTCAGTGTATGCTGTTAGTTGCTGCGATGGGAGGTTTGAGTGACGTACGTTCATCCTGTGCTTCAGTCAATGCTGAAGAAATTCCAAGATGAATAAAAACGATTTTGGTAGGGACCCCTGGGTGGCTCAGTGGGTTAAGCCGCTGCTTTCGGCTCATATAGCAGCTCTGATCATGATCCCTGGGGTCCTGGGATCGAGTTCCGCAAAGGGCTCCTTGCTTGGCGGGGAGCCTGCCTCTCTCTCCGCCTCTCTCTCCACCTCCGCCTGCCTCTCTGCCTGCTTGTGTGCCTTCTCTCTCTCTTTCTGACAAAAAACAAACAAAACTATTTTGGTAAATGGCAGCTGCGTGAGGAAGTTGTCCGCACTAAATCAGTTCGTCAGAACTTCAGGTAATAGTGGGTTCCTGAGGTGCCTGGGTGGCTCAGTGGGTTAAGCCGCTGCCTTCGGCTCAGGTCATGATCCCAGGTCCTGGGTTCAAGCCCCGCATCGGGCTTTCTGCTCAGCAGGGTGCCTGCTTCCTCCTCTCTCTCTCTGCCTGCCTCTCTGCCTACTTGTGATTTCTCTCTGTCAGATAAATAAATAAAATCGTTAAAAAAAAAAATAGTGGGTCCCTGAATGTCTCCTTTGCAGTCTGAACTGAAACATGCTGTAGTCTTTTGGCTCTCAGTTTCTCTGTGGCTCTGTCACCTGGGCCTTTTTGGTTGTGGCGTCTTCCTCCCCATGGGGAAGTTCCCTTCTTCCTTTTAAGGTAAGGAGGGTTTTGTGTTTGTTTGTTTTTAAGGCTTATTTATTCTATTAAAGATATTTGTTTCTTTGAGAGAGTCTCTGTGGGGGCAGGGCAGGGCAGAGGGACAGAGAGAGAATGTCAAGTACACTCTGCACTGAGCCAGGAGCCAGACTGAGGGCTCCATCCCAGGACCCTAAGATCATGACCTGAGCCAGAGTCAGGAGTTGGATGCTTAACGCACTGAGCCACCAGGCACCCCTTTAAGTAAACTTTTTGAACTGCAGCATACATACAGAGAGGTGCACAGATCCTAAGCCAAAAGCTCGAGGAACCTTCACAAGGGGAACACACCCTGTGACTTGCACCCAGGACCCCAGAGTCTATGAGAACCCTCCTGACGGTCCTTTCTGCCAGGGTTCTTGACTTCCGTTGCTGGGGAGCTGTTGCGCATGTTTCTGAATTNGTTCTTGACTTCCGTTGCTGGGGAGCTGTTGCGCATGTTTCTGAATTTGGTGTAAGTGGAGTCATCCAATTCGATGCACTCCTGGGCCTACCTTACGGAGAGTCATCCGTGTTTGTGTGCGTGCTTGTGAGTTTACCAGTGCTGCTGTTTCATCCTCAGACTATTTTAGAGCTCCACTCTGCATGTAGATCCTTAGACATTCTCGAGATAGGATATCTCCTTGGTATCTTTATATTACCTGCATCCTTGAACACAGGTGTCTTCTTTCAGCTGTAGTGTAAGGATCAAGCCTGGTGTGTGGAACTTTTCTGCAGCCCATAAATGGAGTAAGCTTTTGCCTCCTCAGTTGTAGTGTTCTATCAGTCCTTGCTATTTCAAGTCATTGGTGAAGTGAATAGAAAATGCCTGCTTTCAGGGAACCGAACAGATGTTGAAAAGGTGAGACAGAAAGGTCTTCAGTGGTGGGAGGTGCACCCTTGGAATAAATGAGTCCATGGGAGAGATAGTTGGTCTGTGTGGGTACATTGGGAAAGGCCTTACTGAATCTGGGATTTATGGTTCTTTGAGGTCATTTGTTGGTCAGGGCGATACAAGTTAGTTGTTTGTTCCCCCCTCCATCCTTTTTCAGCTCTTCCTTCACTTCAGAGGTCACCCACACTTTTCCACTTCTCCCCACAGGCTGGTAACTCCCATTTACTGTATAATAACCCTCACCAGCCTTATGCGTCCATGCCCGAGGCAGGCAAATCCAACTCTCGCTGCTCGGTCCACTGAAATGACCTGGCAGTTCTCCATTGCCTTTAAAATAAAGTCCAAATGCCGAGCATCACGAGGGGCTGCTGATTCAGTCCTTTCATGTTCCTTTAGGATTTCTGCAGGCCGACTGCCACCGAACCCCATCTGCCCTCCACATATAGGGGTCTGTGTTTCTTGCCAAACTGCTTGTGTCCCGGGCTTGGACCATGATACCTCATTTCCATACCTTCACACCTTGTCTTCCTCTGGATTTTCTCTGTAATCCTTTCCCTCGCTTCTTTGTCCTGCCTCACTACCATTTGGACTCCCAGATGTCTCAGGAAGCCTTTTCATCACTCCAGTCAGGTGTAGCTCATCTTTGTAACACTTGAATTGTATTTTTATTTGCTTGCCTCACCCTCCAAATCATGTATAACTCATTTAACCCTTGAACAGAAGTTTTATTTGATCACCTGTTATGTTTTACCTTTTTTGAGGGTACGACCTTTTCAAAACAAAACAAAACAAACTAATGATTTTAATTTGAGAGAGGGAGGGAGAGAAAGTTTTAAGCAGTCTTCATGGAGACTCTGAGCCCTACATGGGGCTCCATCTGATGACCCTTTCATCATGAGCTTCTGACCCTTAACTGATTTGAGCCACACAGGTGCCCCCTGAGGGCAGGACCTCTCTTGTCACATCTTTATTTTTCTTAACCATGTAGTACAGTGCCTGGCACTGACAGGGGTTCAGTAAATGTATATAGAATAGATGAAGATGAGTTTCAGTTGGCATCCCCCTTAAAACTGTTCCATCCGTTTAAAAGTTTTAAGTAATAAATAAGCTTTCATATTAGGGCTTGAATCCCATGTGTGTAATGTTCCTAGTTTAGGGGCAAGTTGTCTTTATGAAGTGTGTCCTTAAAAGTAACACACCTGTTTCTTTCATTTTGTTTTTCTCACCCTGGGCTGGAAATTAAACCCAGAACTTGAGTCTTGGATGCTGTAGGCAGTGCATTGAAAGTACTTCCTGGAGTGGTTTGGAGCTTCAGAGCATGAGCACATTGACCTGAACAAGAACTCTGATGATTCCTAATCCTTTTTGGTTGTCCATTTGGTTATTGAAGTGGCCCAGAAAGTCTTACAGTCTGCTAAAGAAGAAGAGATCCGTCATGTGCAAAATCGGTTTTGAGGAACTAGATGGGTGTGCACGTAACCTGGCGTCGAAAAGCAGTTTAAGAATGGGAACAGAACATGCTGGGTATCGATGGAGGGGTTATGCTGTCCATCGTGTAAGTTCTCTTGTGTTCATACACCTATAAGTTGGAAGTTGTACACGGAGTATATTCTGTTGAGGACTGTGGATTCTGTTAAATTGGAGTCTTGACTCATTCACTTCATGTATTGAACTTTAAGTTCAGTTCTATGCAGTGACTGGCTGTTGTGTCAAAGAAGAATTGTCAGTAAAGACAATGCAAGACAACTGCAGTGTTAGTCAGAAATCAGGAATAGTTGAAATCATAAGGTAAACAAGTGAAATTTTAATTTTTCAATAGGATTAGATAATGCTCCTTTCCCTCCCTTTCTCATTTTAGAAAAACTATTTAAATGATCCTTTGGTTGAGAGAAGAAACTGGTAGAAGGGATATGTTAAAAAAAAAAAAGAATCTTACTTAACACTTCATGTTAAGAGCATTCGCAATACATTTTAGGATGAAGTTGCTTTTGCGGGGGACAGGAAATTAAAGGGGATGTAGGATGCCAATTGTATCAGCCTGTATTGGATCTTCAAATCTATTGAGTACTTGGTGGTTGGTTAGTCAGCGAGAAAATCAACGTGAATGACTGCTTTCTGAGAAGAGATGAGATTTCCTATGTAGGGTAGAAGGTTTATACACTGTTCATTCTTTTCTAGAAGTAAAAGTTGTTGAATATCATAAGTCTGCCAGAATATTCCAGGTTTCAAGAAATAAAGTTTCAGCTTAAAACGATCTTCAGTCGAAACCAAACCGTTCTGTGGTCTTGGGGTGCCTGGGTGGCTCAGTTCGTTAAGCATCTGCCTTTGGCTCAGGTCGTGATCCTGAGGTCCTGGGATTGAGCCCCACGTCGGGCTCCCTGCTCAGAAGGTCTTACTTGGAGGGAAATGGGACACTTACCCAGGTGGATAGGAGGTAGCTACTGTAGTAATACCCATTTGTAACCGGGTTCATACCCATGTGTTCACTTCGAATTTCAAACTTTAATAAGCATGAAGGTTGGAACTCTGTTTATCTGGTACTACCCAAGCCTCTTGTGAATTTTCATCCCACGAAGGAGAGAGATTATCAGCGCATTGGTAAAATTTAAAAATAACTGACATATTTGTAGGGTATTTTCCTGTATCATTCCATATATTCCCGATTGTCCTTTAATTTGGTTGTGAAGGTGGTAATATGTGCTTAGAAGAAATTAGGGGACAAAACAACATAAAGGTCACTTTTATTCTGCCCATGCAGAATCATTTTTCTTTCACCAATTTATTTGTTTATTCCCCGGACCACAAATATTTGTGTAATTATAGTTTTCCAGGTGTTGTTTAATATGCTAGTTCATTGAATTTTGAAAGTGCTGTAGGTTGTAGTTCCGTGTAGGAATGGGGGTATCAGGCAATGTATGATATAAAACTAATTGAGTCTCTGGTTTGAAAGACATCACTTCTGACCTGTTGGTTTTCTATGGTTCATTTTGGGTTTTTCTTCTCTAAGGAAATTTTTTGCGATCACTTCATAGTTTTAGGGATTCCTTTTTGTAGGAAATAAAGCTAACATCCAGTTTCCAGTTTTCTTTTTGTTTTTTATTTTGTTTTGTTTTGTTTTATTTTGGGGGGAATGAAAATATGTCTTTGGATTCTTAGTATCTGTGGCGTGATTAACTTTGCCGAAGTCTTTCATGAAAAGAATAAGTATGTAAGGCAATCCAGATTTAATGTTTTTCTATTAAATTTGTTTAACGTTGTGGTGCTCTAACTTTCCTGTGTATCGGAATCCCCTGGAATGCTTGTTGAAACACACTGCTTGATTTCCGGCTCTACCCACCACCTTCTGGGTTTTGTTTTTATGAAGTAGGTCTGGGGTAGGGCCTGTGACTTTGCATTTATTTCTTAGAAGTTACTAGGTGATGTTAGTGCTGCTAGTGCTGGTCTAGGGAGCACTATTTGAGAACTATTGGTTAGATGACCTTAAATTTGAAAGAGAAGCCAGCCATGTTTCTTAATGAAACTGGAGATAGTTTTGATGTTCCAGAAAATTGATATCTTGGGGTGCCTGGGTGGCTCAGTGGTTAAGACTCTGCCTTCGGCTCAGGTCATGATCTCAGGGTCCTATGATCAAGTCCTGCGTTGGGCTCTCTGCTCAGTGGAGAGCCTGCTTCCTCCTCCTTCTCTTTCTCTCTCTCTCTGCCTACTTGTGATCTCTGTCAAATAAATAAAATTTAAAAAAAAAGAAAATTGATGTCTTGGCATTGCACAGGGAATTTAAGAGAAGTGATCTCCATTCATGTTTTTATTTATTTATTTAAACGATTTTATTTGTCGGTGGAGGTGTGGGAGAGTGAGGAAGCACAGTCAGGGAGAGCGGCAGGCAGTGGCAGAAGCAGGCTCTCAGCTAAGCAGGAAGCCCCATGCAGGACTCGATCCCTGGACCCTGGGATCATGACTGGAGCTGAAGTCAGTTGCTTAAGTGCCTGAGCCACCAGGCATCCCTACATTCATTTTTTTAACTTAGAGCTGGAATTAGAGGCGATTTCTTAAGAAATACATTGTGTGTAGTAGAAGAGCACTTATCAGTTGGGAACATATGCACTGAATTTTTATCTTCCACATTGAAAAGTCAGATATTGTCTTGGGCTATTAATATGTGTGTTGGATTTCAGATACATGTAGTTTTAAAGGCTATTTCTTTGTAACGTATGTTAGAACAAATTTGATAGTAAACTAATCTTTCAATAGAATGTTGGCCAAAGAATATGAATAGGTAGTTAATCAAAGAACAACAAATTAAGTCAGGAAACATGAGAAATATATAACTTCTATTACTTCAATACAAAACAACATTTTCGGCAAGTCAGATTTTAAAGACTACAAAATTGTTAGTGCGTCTAGGAAGAAGAGGACGTTGTAACAGAGCCTTGGTGGCTAAGATAAGCTGCTTTACATTTTCTGAAGGCCAGTTGGAAGCAATTCCTTTAAAAATATTTGTAGCTTGTGAAACCAGCATTTTCACTAGGAGTTAGTGTTCTCTGCACATACATTTTCTGTGTAAATACATTTGTTGCATCATTATCATAACAAAAAATAGCCAATGAACTCATTAAATGTTGGTAGTGTGCTTCATGAGGGGCAGGTCTTTTGCTAAGGCCACAAGGGTCTGTGGCCCAAAAAGTGGAGTTTGGTAGTAATTCTTGCTGCAAGTTAAAAACAAATAAAACAGCCTACATAGAGGTCAGGGAATTGATACAAAACTGGGCAATAGTTACAAATGTTTTGCAGCTCTTAAAAATGCCGGTTTAATACGGTAAAACTGGAAATGACCCAGATGTCCTTCAGTAAATGAGTGGTACATCCGTCCCAGATGGAATACTTCTCAGCAATTAGGAAGGAACAAACTCTGTATGCATACGACAGCTGGCGTGGATTTCAAGGGCATGATTCTGAGTTAAAAAAAACAATCTCTGCAGGTCACACACTGTAGGCAGCCACTCACGCTTTTGTTATCACAGAGTTAGATGAGCAGTCACCAAGGGTTAGGGCTGATGAGGTTGAGGGGTGGGTGTTTGTGACTGGAAAGGGGTACTGAGAGGGAAGGTTTTGTGTAGATGAAATCTGATCTTGATTGTGGTGGTTGTTAAATGAATCTGCACATGTGATAAGGTGACCTAAAATGGTACCCATGCATCCCCATGTCAGTTTCTTGGTTTTGATGTACTGTAATCCAGAGGATGCAACCCCGTCTGGGAAATGGGGTGCAAATTATATGGGACGTCATATTGTTTTTGCAACACCCTGTGAATCTGTAATGATTTCAAAATAAGGTGAAGTTTTAGAAAGCATATATAATAAAAGGAAATGTTCACAGTATTAGAATAAAACAAGTTTCAAAGTGATAAAACATATGATCCCACTTTAATATTTCATATCACTTAATTTAGTATATTTACCTGGAAGTAATGAGTGATCAAAATATTCTGAGCAGTAGCATGGTGGATTCTTTTGGATTCTTTTGTGTGTATGCTTCTCTATAATTTCTACAGTTTAGATGAGTTGATATCACTTCTGTAGCTTGTAAAGCAGTCTTTATAATAAGTTCCAAAAATCTAATTCTGGAATGTTGAAATTTAAAAAACATTTACATTGAATCTATCAAGTTTTGTTTATATTGGTTGCACCAAGTTAGCATTTAAATAGCTATTAGCTGAGATTGGAGAGTATATTTATCCTCTAAAACATGTTGTGTTTGTAAATTTAAAGCTGTTTTTTGCTCTTGGTATTACAAATGTCCTGTATGATGTTCTGACTTCCCAGTGTTGTCCAATGTAAGTATATACATTGCAGGCCACATGAAATTTTAAGCTTCATTAACCACAGTGAGCAAGTAAAAAGCAGCTGAAATGATTATTTTTAAAGATTCTATTTTATTTTTTGTCAGAGAGAGAGGACGTTCTCTCACGCCCGAGAGCCCGTGTACCCGTGCACAAGGCGGGGGCAGGGGCAGGCAGAGGAGACAGGGCAGGCAGAAATGAGAAGCAGGCTCCCTGGTAAGCAAAGAGCTGGATGTGGAATTTGATCCCAGGACCCTGAGATCATGACCTGAGCTCAAGCTTAATTAACCGAGCCACCCAGGTGTCCTTAGGTGAAATCATTGTTAAGAAATTTAGTTTGTTTAATCGGTTATATCCAGAATATTATCATTTCAATATGTAATCAGTATAAAATTGCAGTGAGATATTTTACATTCTTTTTATCATACTGTAATAAAAATCATACTGATGTGGGAAACAGAGGCAGAAGAAAAACTATTAAATTTCCTTACCTCCTGACAAGCCCTTAAAACAGGCAGAGTGACTCTCCTCTAGGGACTCAACTACCCCCACCTTAAGGCTTTGCTAAGGGCAAAGGGCAGTCCTAGCCTGACCGACCCCCAACCCCTCACCAGGGCCCTGTAAGCACTTTAACAATTCCTTTGGAAACTTGGTCTCTAAACCTCCAAGATAGTGCTGACAGTCACTCCCAAGCATATGGCCTACTGATAGACATCTAAAGGGTCTCACTAAAAGATTTTACTACTAGTAATGAATAACCTTTTCCCCAAACAATAGCTAGCCCCTCAAGGTCCTAGAAACCTTGCTTCCAAAATTCCTTAGAGACTGACACCATCCCTAATCCCCTCCCCACCTTACAANATTCCTTAGAGACTGACACCATCCCTAATCCCCTCCCCACCTTACAAGTATATAATAGACGACTCCTGACAACCCAGAGCAGCATCTCTTCCTGCCCACAGATCGTGTCCCCGTGCTTTAATAAACCACCATTTTGCACCAGAGAGGACTCAAGAATTCTTCCTTGGTCGTCAGCTCCAGACCTCATCCCAGCGAACCTCACCTATGTTGTAGAAGTTCATCATTTGGAGCCCAACGTGGGGCTGTGAGTCTTTACATTTGGACTCTGAGCTTTGGTGCAAAATTGGTGAGTACTTTCTCGCTTCTTCCTTTACTCTCATTTCAGGGCTTCTCAAGGAGTATGGTCTTATTGGAACACTTGCATGTCGATTGCTCAGGCTTTAATCCCCCAGCCCGTGGCTACTCCACAGGGAAGAAAACGTCTGACTTTTGGGTGGAAGTTAGTACCCTGGCCAGAATGGTAATAAGACCCAGAAACTTGATGCCCTTTCTTTATTCCTGTTCTTACGTAAAGTTGTCTTTCTTGGGCGCAGGACAGCCACCTAAGTCACCAGGAAGGACAGATGCCAATCTTAAGACTCCCATGTGAGGTTTCTTCCTGACTGATCTAATGTGATCCCCTCCACACCCCTGGTCTAGCCCCTACTGGCCTTGGGACCTCCACTAGGAGCCGGTGGGAAGCAGTACCCGATTGAATTAAAATGCAACCGGGGATCGTTTCCTAGGGAAGTGGGCTGTAAGGACCACATGTGTTGGAATGTCACATAGACCATGATGGATTTCAGTCTTTACTGTTTCACGTCAGTGTCTTCTCCAAACTACTTAAAGCTACGCAATTGGGTAATTTCCCCTTGCCAAACATTTTTTTTTGTTTCCCATGGGTTAAAAATGGCAGGGCAGCCACACAACTTTTAGTGTATCGGATGGCACAAGATCCTAGTCCATTCACCAGGCACCCATCTGTAGCCTAGGATGCGATGGGAAAGAAGAGGGACGCCGGCACCCCTCCAGGGCCTTTTACGGCAGGAATGCCTTACCGGGAAGGTAGAATGGTGATGAGTAGCGATGTCTTGAGGGACGCCTCTGGTGGCTTTTGACACACGGGCACCACTGACATATCCTGCGTGCGACGCCACCCAGGCGTCAGGGGGGATTTGGTAATGGACCTTCTTTCCTTTTCTGGGAGCATGGCCTCAGTAGGCTTCTTCGGTCCCAAGGACTCTACCATGGGATGCCTTTTAACCCACTGGAAAGCTTCTCCTAAAATTTTTGGAGGGTTGGGTTTTCACTTATAATAGTATTAAAAAAAATATTATAATACACAATTCACCTGTCAAACATGTGCCCATTAAACAGATATTTGTGGAGAGAGGGAGAGAGAATCCTGAAGCAGACTCCCCACTCAAGATGAAGTCTGATGCCGGGCTGGATGCCAGGACCCTGAGATCGGGAGCTGAGCCGAGAGCAAGAGCTGGCCGTGCATACCGTTTGGTATAAATGGTAAAGATGTTTGTTAATTCCCAAGATACCCACTGAAGGGCAAAGGCCAAAATGGCTTCAAATGGCCTTAGAGATCCAGGCTCCTTCTGCTACTAATTGTTTTCCTAAGGCTGGTTCCTCCCAGTTGGCAGAAGACCTTCACTGGTAATTTGGGCTTCAGCTCCCGGTTTAGAACACTTCAACTTTGGTTCCTTGTAGGGTACACCAGGGAGAGTTCAGGCTACCATAGCATTTTCCAGGTTGTGTAGACCAGAATTCAGGCTACTGCACCATTTTCTAGGTTGTAGCTATTATGGTTATTGGTTCCTGGTTTTCCCACTGTGACCTGCCTAAGGGATGAGGAAGGACTGGTACCTAATACAGAGCTGGGGGAAAGGCTTAGGAAGTCATTCAAGGTGAGTTTTCGGAAACAATCTTGGATCTCTTTTCCCATGGACACAGAACTTGTGGTCGAGCAGAGTTGTCTGACTGGCTCTTGCCAGTGAGTTTGCTGAGGGACTAAATGGTGGCAGGTCTTCTAGGTGAGGTGTGAGGTGAGGTTCTGTGCTCTGTAGAGTCCTGGGAAGGGAGTTAGGCACCTGAGCAGATAAAGAAAAGAGACGGACACCGGTGAGCGGTGAGACGATGAGGGGCCGTGTACGTGAGCACCAAGACGGATGGCGGAGTCTGCTGAAATTTGCAATGGAGCACGGCATGTGCCCCTGTTGACCTTTGGAGTTAGCTGATTGTCCTCCTTTACCTGCTTCCTGAGAACTGGGCCAGAACCTACTGACCTCCCCTCACCTGCCTCCTTTCTTCCCTTCTAGGTCTGCAGTAAGCCTTAACTACTGGCCTGACCCTTCCATTCAGCATTTTAGGAGACTGTCTAAGGAGAGGAAGGCCCCCAGAATTAACAGAGGCAAGTGACTCCCTCCCTCCCAACGTCCCCTCATCAGCCCAGAGGCCTGAGGTTTTAGGGGTTCATTCTTCAAAAGAGAGAGTTCCAGTGTTCACTCTCTCCAGTGGCATATGAAAGTGCTCATTTCCCAACATCCTCACCAACACAGGGACCTTGTCATTGTGGTTCATCTGTTATGTGAAAAATGGTATCTTACAGTAAATTTATTTTATTGTAGTCCTCTTATTTGGGGGCTGAAATTAAGGATCATTTTTATATGCTTAAGAACCATTTCTAGTATCTTTTACAGTGAACTGTCCAAGTAAGGAATCACCTTTTTGGCCGTATTAAAGTGATACTAACACTATTAGGCTCTGCGAGTCCTTTCTATCAAGGAAGGCAGTGAAAGGATTTGAGATGGGAGGGTGACTCATTCTCAATCAGATTGAGAAATTAGCCAAATGAGGGGCGCCTGGGTGGCTCAGAGGATTAAAGCCTCTGCCTTTGGCTCAGGTCATGATCCCGGGGTCCTGAGATCAAGTCCCGCATTGGGCTCTCCTTGGTGGGGAGCCTGCTTCCTCCTCTCTCTCTCTCTGTCTGCCACTCTGCCTACTTGTGATCTCTCTCTGTCGAATGAATAAATAAAATCTTAAAAAAAAATAGAAATTAGCCAAATGACCCCAAGTCCTTGGGCATGCAGGGAATCCTGGCCGAAAAGATAGAGCCTCTGGGTAGATTCTGTAAGAAATGCAAAGAAAGTTTAAAGTGACAATAAGGACATGGCCCTTCCTTTGAGCTGAGGGTGAACCCAGGCTTTAGGAAGATGGGGCCAGGCCTGCCTAAGAGGCCTGAATCCTCCATCCGGGGCTCCTTGGCAGCTTCCTTAACCAGAGGCAGGGAACCACCTTGGAGCCCTGGTGACCTGGGAGCCCCGAGGCAGCGTGTCAGCAGCCTGCCTGCTGTCTTTCTCTGCATGGGCTGGCATGTCCAGAGTGCTTCCCAAGTAGGGTGTGGTGAGCATCTTTTCAGTTTATGTTTCAACATCCAGTCTGTTGTGGATGATATTCTATAACATACAATAAAAATGATTTCCTAGAAATAAAATGCAAGAAACCTGTAAACTACAAGCTCAAATGATTTATTAGGAGAATCAATAGACACAGAACTCCTATATCACATTGCAGTACATTTCTAAATGCTGCTCAAGTTTTTGTTCTTACGATAGTTATGCTTTAAGCAACCGGGCTGTAGAACACTGATTTTAACTTCCTTCCACCCCTTTTATTCACCATCTCCTTTACCCAAGCTCCCCACCCTGGAGCTGAATAAGTCCATTTTGGGGGCAATGTTTGCTCGTGCCTTTCTCCCGCAGTCGGTCTGTGAGGTCAGTTTATAAGCATAGAGGCTTTGACCCACACAGGATGGAGATGAAGGGAACATGGTAAGAAATACGGCTTTATTTTATTTTATTTTATTTTATTTCATTTTGCTTAGACATTTATCTGCCCCGTACTCTGACCGCAAAATATTATTTTGCCTTGATCTCGCATTCTGAGGTTTGGCTGAGTCCTAAGTAGTTTGCACCTGGCCACAAAAAAGCATGTTTCGAAGAGGAAAATTAAGATCTGATGTTTTGATGTTAACACTTGTCTGTCCTGTGTACAATCATGGGACATTTTATGGTAATCTTTATAGATTTCATTTATTTATTTATTGGAGAGGGAGAGCATGAGTGGGAGAGCCAGAGGGAGAGGGAAAAGCAGGCTGTCCGCCGAGCAGGGAGCAGATCCTGACCTGAGACAAAGGCAAATGCTTTACCGACTGAGCCACCCAGGTGCCCCAAGGGACATTTTTATTTCTAAGATCTTTATTTCCACCATTAAATCATTAAATAGATTGTACTTACTTTGGTTCCAGCAGGTTTAAGATAAAAAGAAGAGAATGTGAACGTCCTGATTTCTCCCATGAGTCCACAGAAAAATCACTGACCCCAAAGAAGAGCAGCCGGATCCTCATTTGCTCTTCTCCTAGGGCGGGCTCTGCAGGGATGCTTTCCGACCTCACTGAGTGATAACTTGTCTCTGCGTCTCTGTCTCAGGACATTTTGCTCGAGTCTATGGCATCAGTCAGCTGATAAAGGCATTTCTACGGAAGACAGACTGTCATTGTCAAATTGTAAATCTTGGGACTGGGATGGAGACCACCTTCTGGAGATTAAAGGTAAATGAACATTCGCCCTCTTCCCCTAATTGTTTCATTTGTGAAGGTGCCCACCTGGTTCAAAATGTTAGAAATATATTAGGAGGAGATGCAGTGACTGCCTGTCTCCCACCCCTGTCCCCAGCTACTCGCGCCTGCTGCTGCCGTCAGCCACGTACTTGATGTCACCGGGCCCCTGGTGAAGGATGGGTGCCTGACTTCTCATTCTTTGCTGTTACCAACAGGGATCCTGATAAAAATCCTTGTCAACGTGTCCTCTGCATGAGTGGAAGACCCTGCCAGTGGGACTGTGAGGCTTAGACCCCCGTGTCTGCTGTATTCACAATCACGAAGATTTTATTGTCAGCGTGACAGTATCTTCAGTACAGTTTAGTGATGTGCAAGGCTGGGTGATAGTGATACGTACAAAGGCCTTTCATAGCTGTTTCCTGATTTCATCCCTCACCTGCTCTGTTAACGATCAAGAACAGGTATAACTACTCTCACAGGAAATGAGACGGGTCGGGTTAGTGGCAGAACCAGGACCGAATAGACTGCAGGTCCCGCAAGTCCAGGTTGCTTCCCTGTTTCTCTGTACAGAGGCTTGTGCTTGCTCAGGGGGTTCTTTGTGGTCCATCAGTCAGTGGTGCCTGTGCCTCAGTGACCATCATGTGGTGGAAGGAGCTGGAGCAGAATGCAGGGGCAGAACATACACAGTAGGAGCAGAAGCCACTGGAGAAATGCCTCCTCTCGGTGCCACACCCTTTCGAATTGGTCCCGAGGTTGGTTTTGTCCTTCATGTCATATAGTTGGGTTGATTAGGAATAAATCTGACATTTTCATTTCTGGTCTAGGTACACTGAGACTTAGGTACCCCTTCCAAGGAAAAGGTTATATGCCAGGAGTAAGGACGGCAAATAGCACAGGGTAGGAAAGATTTAGTGGAGGTGTTTTGGATCGGTCCAAAGGGTTTTTAAAAAAACTCAAGTCTCCTTGAATAAAAAGAATGCCTGTTCCAATCATCTTCATGTTCATTCCCTGCTAGAAGGTCAAACCACCTCACTTGACAATGGCAAGGTCTCCAGTATCTTGTAGGTCTTCTTTAGCATAGGAAAGTTCCTTTGAAACCCTTCCCTTTCCTTACCTCCCCCACCTTCCAAGGGTGTATCAGTCCCCCCCACAACACTGATGCCGCTCTTTCTGTGCACGGATCCTGTCCCGGTGCTTTAATAAAGCCACCGTTTTGCACCAAAGAGGTTTCAAGAACTCTTTCTCGTCATTGGCTCTGGACCTCACCCCACCAAACGTCACGTACATTCCAAAACTCTGTGACTACTCCCCTGTCTACCTGACGCTTGGCATTATTTCTATCATTTCCTACAGATGTCGGCAAAGCAGGCACTGCTAGGCTTTAGGGACGGGCTTCAACTCTGGAAACAGGATCAGTGCACCTAAGATCATAGAGTGGAGTAGCAACCAAATTAAACACAAAACAAAGCCACTAAGCAAAAAGTTATGGGGGAGGGACCCCAAACCCTCAATAGCAAGTTTAGAAAATGCGAGGGGAAGGAAAAGCATTTTGGTACACACACCAGAAGCACTGTCACATGTGCTTTGGCCAAACCACACTCCCCATTTGACCCAGGTGTTGGGGAAAAAACAAAAAAGCAAAAGCTGTGGAAAACTCACACATTGATATCTCATCCAGAACAAACAGTCAGTAGGTCCAGTACAGCCAACAGCCCTAAGGACCTTGAAAGCTGTGCCCCAGATAACTGGGCACATGACCATCACCTCCAGGAGCTCTCAAAGCCACCAGTGGTTCCTATTCCGACAGCAAGATGGTCTACAAAGCCTGGTGTCTGCTGTCATTTCATAATGGATAATGTTTCCTGTCAGGCATTAAAGCAGAAACCAAAGAAGCTTGGAGAGGATGGGCTTCCAAACCCAGAGGGAGAAAGGCTTTTTAAAAAGCTCTTAAAAAAAAAAAAAAAACACAACAAAACCTTAAAAGTTGGCCCAAAGCGTTTCCACAGTTATTTCCTCCCAGAGGCCTGGGTTTGGAGGCAGCGGCACCTCTACAGTCCCTCCATGGATGCCAGGAACTCAGGAGGCAGATCCTATGGGCCCGGACTTCCCATTAATTCTTTCCTGCCAGTAGGCACTTGGAGGCTGAGGATCTGCAGAGGTAGGGCGCCCCCGAAAGGTGGAGAACACCTCCCCGAGAGCACTGCGTCCACGGGGCCTCAGGCACATTAGTGCCCAGAGTTTTCGCCCAGGGCAAACCCTGGCATGGGTGGCAGGGGAAGGCTCAGGTGCAGTCCCCCCCAGGGCAATGCTGGGTGGGGCCGGGATCGAGGGCGGTGGACACCCACCCCCGGCAGGGGGCGTCTTGGAAAGGCCAATCCACCAAGCAGCTCTTCCCGGACTCTGGTGCCTGCCCGAGCTGGCCTCCAGTCTGTGGCTTGGCGCAGTCCAGGGCCAGGACCCCCTGTGCCTGGTGCCTGGCGGCAGCAGGGGACAAAAGCATGCCACCAGGAGAGCCGCCAGCCCTCCCATTCCGGCCCCGGACCTCACCTGGCGCAATCCCGGCCCAAATGGGCTCATTTACAGGCCAGGGTCTGGTTGGCCGGCTGCTTCATGCAGCAGAATTGCTTCTTCATCGTGGCAATGGGGTGGGCAGCGGGGTTCCTGCGGGGCAGCTGCCAGCGCGGTTCCTAACCCTATCCCCTGGACTAGCATCACCTGGGATTGGGGTGGGGGGATGGAATTGGGCCTCTGCCGCTGCACACCTGGGCCACTCTGTGCAGGCGGAGGCCCCGCGGACCAGGCGCGTCCACCGTTCTGCGCAACTGCCTGCCTGGTCTAGGCGCACATCTGCGGGAGGGGATAGAGGCGCAGTGTGGGCGGCGGCCAGTGAACCGCCAAACCAAGTCACGAGCCAAGCTGTCCCCGCAGAACTGATGGGGCAAGGAGGGACAGGGCACTCTGGAGCCTCTGGAAGCTGGAAATACCCAAAGTCTCCGTGAGGGCCATCCTCTGCGTGGATATAGACCTCTGTGAAGTGCACCGAGGATCTCTCCTAGCTGGATGGACGTATGTGACCTTGTAATTTACACCTGAATGAAAAAGGTACTATTGCGTGGAAAGAGCGTGCCACAGGACTTTGTGTACTGTGACCCACTTAGGGGGAAGTCGAGGGCCTTGTGCATTTTCTGGGGGCAGGCACCTGGGTGCAGTCAGGCAGGATCATGCACTAGGGGCCCACCCAGGACAGGCACCAAGGAGGGCAAGGGGCCCAGGCCTGGGTGGGAAGTTGTGGGGATGAGCTGTGGGGACGGGGAACCTGATCAGTGGCAAGAGGGCCTTGGCTGTTTGGAGCTACCTGAGCAACAGAGGCGCGTGGGAGCGCCTGAGCGAGAGGGGCGGCGGGGGAGGGGCATGCAGGCTTGCCTGGAAAGGTCTGTGTGCTAAGGCAAGAGGGAGCTCCCCTGAGTGGGGCAGGGGAGGGGCATGCAGGTGTTGCCTGGAAACGTCTGTAGGCTTTTGATTCTTAGCCTCGCGCAGGCAGGGGTTCTGGGACACTTGGCGGGGTAGTCTGACTGGGCTGGACGCTTTCGCACCGAGGACCAGGGCAGTTGTATGACCGTCAGATGTTCTCCTGGGCCGGTAGGCTGGGCTCTGGCCTAGGCCATTCCCTAGGGGCCGTGGACAGCAGCCAGACCTCTTTGACCAGGGACATCTCCGATATTAACAGACATGTGCTGGGGAAAGGGACTTTCCCCGGGGATGCCAGGGATTTGGCTGATGTCATCTCATCCCAGACACAGATCAATAGACTCCTCCATGAGATTGAAACACTGGAGGCTGAAGTGACTCATTGGAAGAAGTTGTGCCAGTGTTCCACCCAGGGACCAAATACCATCGAGACAGAAACACTGTGGAAACTGAAGAGCCACATCAGGGACCTAGAGCAGCGGCAGATGCGGGAGATGGACGAACATCAGCTGGAGGTGGCGGGGTTGCAAAACACCCACCGGCAGAAGCTGGCAGACCTCACTGACTGGCACCGCTAACAACTTAGAGACTATCAACGGATGGATCGGCTCTCCAAAGAGCAGATTGGGAAACTCACTGAAATTATCCAGAAAAAGAATTTGGAGATTCAGGGTCTTTCTAGCAAAATCTCTGTGGCTTCTCGCTGCCAGGATGGGCACGTGGAACAACTGCAGCGCCAACTGCAAGAGTGTGCTTTGAAAAGCGAACAGGTCTTGGTGGTCCTAAATGAGAAGACGAGGGAGAACAGCAATCTGAAAAGGGACTATCACAGAATGACCGACTTGCTGCCAAAGAAGCAGAACTCCAGAGGCTGCAAGAGGAAAATCAAAAACTGTCCACTAGAATAGAAAGCAGTGGCCAGGAGGTGTTTAGAGAAACGATTCGGAATTTGTCACACATTATTCGAGAAAAAGATCTGGAAGTGGAGGCGTTAAGTCAAAAATGCCAAACTTTATTGACGATCCTGCAGACACCCAGCACTGGTCATGAGATTGGAGTTTTTTTTTTTTTAATTTATTTTTTTTAATTTCTTTTTTAAAGATTTTATTTATTTATATGACAGAGAGAAATCACAAGTTGGCAGAGAAGCAGGCAGAGAGAGGAGGAAGCAGGCTTCCCGCCGAGCAGAGAGCCCGACCCGGGGCTCGATCCTAGGACCCTGAGATCATGACCCGAGCCAAAGGCAGAGGCTTTAACCCACTGAGCCACCCAGGCACCCCGGTTGGAGGAGTTTGTATGGATCAGTTCCAGCAGCTTCTACAGGAACGGGACACATTAACACAGAGGGTGAAGATCATGGAGGAGTGGAAAGAGCGGGTGCTGACCACGGTCCAAAATATGAAGCGTGAGTCACCCCAGCTTCAGAGAGATCTGCGACAACTCCAGGCATGGGCTTGCACCAACGGCGAGGTTTTGAAACTGCACACGACCTCTCTTGACCAGATCCACACTTACCAAGGACATGAAATAAACTTACAAGAGCTAGAGAAGGAACTGGCACAACTTCAGCTCCGCATCGGGGAGCTTTGCAATGCCAAGGACCTCCTTTTAGGGAACCTTGACGTGATTTTCCTCCTTCCCTCCAGCGACTCCGCAAAGGCAGCCGACTCTCTGAAGGTGGTGAAATCTGACCGAGTGAGTGAGTCTTCTCAGGTGCTCCGAGAGGAGGTAGAAGAGCTCAGAAAATCAGGGCAAGGAAAAGATACAATGATTCAAACCCTCCAGGAAGATCAGCAGAGACGGATTGCTTCAGGGGCTGCCACGGGGGAAGGAGAAGGCAAACCACAGGAACACAGCGATTCCGATTCCCACATGGAGCAGCAGAAGGAGAAACAGGCTGTTCTACAAAACTTCCTTCAGGTTCAGGAGCTCCAAATCCCAGCGAAAAGTGAGGAGCTGCTTTCTTTACAGGAGAAGCTGAAGGGCCAGGTGAGTGAGAATGAGCTGCTGAGGCAGGCTGTCACCAGTCTGAAGGAGAGGATAGCAGATTTCGAAATGCATGTGTGTTGGCTGAAAGAGGAAAACGCGAAGATCGTGGAAACATCTAGAGAAAAGGACATGGAAAATCAGGCATTGCAAGAGACAAATCGGCTGCAATCAAAGATGCGGAGGGAGGAGGAATCCCAGCATGCCGCGATGAAAGAGAAGGCACTTGCGCTGGAGCAACTGCNCCAGCATGCCGCGATGAAAGAGAAGGCACTTGCGCTGGAGCAACTGCAGCGAGAGAAAGAACAGGGCGAGACGGGGGAATTGAACCGGCTTGTGGACGCCGTTCGGTCAAAGCAGGAAAAGGCAGTTTTGTGTCAACAGGAGAGAGATGGACGTAGTGTTGGCACTGAAACAGAAAGAAACGGAAACCTGTGCCCTCCAGAAGGAGGGTCACCAGTTACATGAGCGAGAATTGCACCTAACCCAGGAGCTGGAGAGAGGGTGACACCTCGCTGCAGAAGCCGAAGATTCTCGTCACCGGGAACGTTTGGCCTCAGAAGACCAAGTGGCTTAGCTAAGAGAGGAAGTGACGGTCCTGCAGGGAAAACTCGTTTTGTCTTCCGCTGGCATGGAAAAGGCCAGCCGCGGAGCCCGTCTGCAGGTAGAGTCGCTGCGGGAGCAGTTGCACGTGGTCACCCAGCAGAAGGAGGAAGCTGCGCTCCGGCTTGCCGCCTCCCAGGAAGAGGGAAGGCACTATGATCGACGA